GGATGCATCGCGCGCACGTTCTACACAGAACAATACGAGTCGCCGTTGATTCACGGTCCGCCATCGTGCCCGAGCACGCCATGAAATATGTGTCGATATTAGTGACGGTTCGATATACCCGGTTTGTTCTCCGAGTCTCCGAGGGCTGCGCCGCTCGCCGAGGAATATTTAGTTGGCGAACGGATGGAGCTGTTCCCCGAGATACCTGCGAAGATCGGATATTCCCCGAAAATCCGAACGAACGTCCTTCGCGAGAACGTTCCTCGGCGGAGAAACGAAATCGTCGATTCGGCAATTATAAAGTATCAACTCGAGAATCGATTTAACGAGCGTCAACTTGGGAATTAAGGGACGTAAGATTTCAATGAACATTGGACACTGAAATACTCGAAGTTTCTAATGGATAATTAATAGTCTCCCGAAAGAATCGAAGTTTCCAATTGGAAAGTTATCGAGAATTCTCTAAATATCGGTATTATGGATTGCAAACGGCCGAGTAACCAAGCGTCTACTTAAAGTGAAAAGACGAATGTTCACCTTGCCGGCGATCGAAAGAAAATCGATGTAGAGTCGTCGACGGAAAAAATCCGGAGAACGGCCGTTTTCCGCGCGTCACAGCTGGAAATCCTTGAAAGCGTTTCGAAGCGTGAACGCCTGAGGATTGCAGCAGAAATCCGTTGCGTGATATACAATCGAGTGGATCGCGCTCGGATCCGCGGAGGCGTTGATAGATCAGCTGGATCGCGCGGGACAAGCGAAAGTGAGCGGCTGGCGGCCCGCTCGGTCGACCGAGGGGGAAAAAAGAAGCGTTATTTTTGTAAATTCTACGCGTGAGAGGAAACTGGAAACCGCGATTATACTGTGATACGAGCCGTTCGAGAGGGAGGCGCGCTCCGGCGGGACGGAGAGAACAGTCCCCAGCGTTGTTTTGTTCTTTTAGGCCAGTTCTTGTCGACCGAGTGCAGATACTTCGTGTAAACGGGACGATTCACCGTGTACTTACTTATAACTATCGTAGATTTACAAAACATCCCACGCGCACGCAAGATATACATCTCTATTTTTGCTACCTACTTTTTGTACGTTTTTACATGAGAACGATGCGAATAAACAATATTTTTCTTCAACACACGATTCGTTTGTCTTACCTCGAGATAATCAGAGCAGATAGAAACCACTGGACATCTATCCTCCGAAAACAATGATCGACTCGCCGATCGCGTCCAAACATATTCTTACGTTTCCTCCCGTGGAACCGACACCCGAGGGAGGTATCGGTCGTAAATAACAAGACACACGTGTGCACGTGTGTAGAACGAGATGGTAAACGGTGTACGTGTCGTTTGATTTCAGTCGAAACTGAACTGCGAAGTTCTCGAGGACAGGCTGGCTTTCGAGGTGCGTTGGGCCGTGGCCGGGGACAGCATAGTCGCCCAACTCGTCGGAAAACTTGGTGAGTACATATATCCCCGGCGCTGTCCCGCGTTAACCTCCCCCGCCCGCGACCCCCGGCAGAAGGGCGAAACTTCTATCGCGGCTTTATTGAAAACCGCCCGGGTGAATTTACCCTCGCCCCACCACCGGCGGGCCGAAGATCCGGCGGGCCGAACTTTTAATTAACAATGCCAGCCGCCCAGCAGGCCAGTGTCCGGCGTGTGACGTATTTTTAGAAATAATCTGCCGCGTCCTGCGGTCGGGAAAGCCGTGGAGACACGCGCGTCTCGTAGGGTCTCCGAAAACCGTCTATAACGCGGCCGATTTGCACCCCCTGCCGCGTGTAATCGCTCTCCTGGAAAAAGGGGAGCGGAAACATCGCGTTTCACGGTCTAATTCGCAAGACCGGCGGGTTCGGAGAGCGCCTGAACCCCGGGACCACTCTGAATTAAGTGAATTAAGAGCCGATCCATTGATTTTCCACGTGTGCCGTGTGAAGAAATTAGTACGCATCGTTTGGATCGCTCGACGATAGAGTACGTGGACGGAGTCTTTGATAGGTAGAGAATAATTGGCCCGTAGGGAGCTGCTACCAGTGTCACTTTGACGGGTACAATCACCTCGTCGATGGCTTGGTTAGGTCTTGGTTGACTAGGCGAGTGAGACGAGATACTTGGAAGCTTTAGAGGCGTAGAGGGCTCGGTAACAAGCTGCTCCATTGGGGTTTAGAGCGTCTGCTATATTTATGGAATCGAAATGGCCTCTAAGGTCCTGGAGAGAGCTAGCTAACCATAGTGACTATTTTGGAAACGATTGTCCCCCGTTAATTTAGGGAATCTTATATTAATGACATTCCGTTAGGACGCAGATTAGAGTCTCGATGAACGAAGCTCGGGTAGCTCGGGCACCTCGGGATCGCTACACCCGTACTGCACCTAGATGCAGCCCCTGAGGTTAGAGATCGAAGCTCGGAAGAGCTCTAAGTTTCAGGATAAGAATCTTTTGTTACCCCTGCTTCGACTGAGCTACAATTCTAGATTTGTCTTCGAAATGCACGCGACACAGATATAAACCTAGTATACACTCGCTATTGGATCTGATCTGTTTAAACGGTTCCTATTTGTCGATGGATGCAATTGGTAGACGATGGCCAGTACATGGCGTTCGGCCTGTCGGCTGACCCAGAAAGAAGCAGGATGGTCGGTGGCGACGTGGTGGTGGCCTGGGTGGACAAGCAGACTCTTCAGGGCTACGCGATAGATTACTTCCTGGACGCGAAGTCGCAGTGTTCCGGTGGCCGAGGCAGTTGCCCCGACACACGCATACAGGTAAATCAGTTTTCCATTGGCAGCCGGTACCTAGTCTCTCCGGAGCGGCCGGCGGCAAATGGAAGTGGCCGTCGCCGATGACGTGATCGAATTGCGCATTCCTTTGCCGTTGTAACCGGAGCGAAACGTCGATCCGCAGGAGAACACGAACTCGATTCGATTGTTGAACGCCGCCTTGGTCGACGGATTCAGCATTGTCACGTATCAGAGGCCGTTGAAGACAAACGACGAGCTGGACCGTCAGATCCTGACAAACGGCTCGCAGGCGATCATCTGGGCCATCGGACCGCTGAACGAGAGACAAGAGGTCAGCTTCCATTCGGACTATCTGAAAACCGACCGGCTCATCGACTTCGGCAGGCCGCCGGTGTGGAACTGCCCCGTGCCGGATCAAGAGCAGACGCAGCTGTTCGCCGACAGCGAGGAAACAACCGTTGGGAGCCAGGTGATCGATACATTGGAAATCGAGAGCTCGACGATAAGTCCGTGACAATCAGCTCCTTGAGAAAATTATCCTTTCGCGAAGACTATCCGTTGGCAAATGAACTTTTATCGGTTCAATCTTTATAATAGTTCTCTTCTATTACGATTCCTTTCATTCGAAACTCTCGAAGTTTAAAACGATCCTCTATAGCATCTCGTTTATAGTATTATCCGAATGAACAGCAGTGCTTGTGTTCGATAACAAAGATGATTCATGGGAACAGGCACTAGTCGCGACCACAAAAAGGGCTCAGAGGGTGCCAGCAACGCCGGCACCGGCTCCGAAAACCGATGCATGGGACATTCCGCCGATCCAATGCAACGAACCCGACGATGGAGTGCTTTACGCCCAGATGGGACCCACCGGAGGGAAACACGGATATCCTGCTATCACTGGTACGAAACACGAGAATCGATGCGACGAACGCTCGGGGCGTTCGAGCGCTGTCGCGTCGGAGTTCGCGATGACGAGTGAAAGTTCGCGGCGTTAATAAAGGGGAACTGGCCGAATCGGCTGTCGCTTTTCCGCAGGTCACGTGGGCTGGGGTATCTCTTGGTACATAAACGGTCTATTGATTCCGGAGATCAACGTGGTCCGCGGTAGGAAGTACAGTTTCGTGGTGGAAGGCGGCGAGGACCCGGACACACCCGCGCGTTACCACCCGTTCTACATCACCGACGACCCGATCGGCGGCTATCAGCACAAGACACCCGAGGAGAAAGCTGTGAGCTGTCCTCCATTGAGTTTGACGATTTAGGGTATTGTCTATGAGTATTTGGACACTTGGATCTTGATTAACTATGGCGTATAGAATATAGAACATGGAATACGAATATAAGAAACAGGAGATTAATCAATGATACACATGTTGGAGCAATGGTAAAATACTTTTAACAGGTTGTAGCAAGTGTCCAGGTAATTATAGACGTTATCTATGCAGTAATTAAACTTGACGAGAGAAAATAGTGTAAGCGACGCGTTCTGCTAACAGAAAGTGAAGATATTCGCTGGCGCCCAGCGTCAACGCGGTGTGTACCGACCAACTGGCACCGGACGTTTATGCAACTGGGTGCCAGACCAAAATCAACCCCTGGCCGATGAGTTCTCATCGTTCGGTGCGTATCAACGCACCCTAACGCTCGAATGCGATCCTGGCGACCCGGGAATCGTGGAATGGACACCGGATAAGAACACACCGGACACTGTGTACTATCAGGTATATGTCAACGTCGAACATTCGAGTGAATTTACAGGATCGAGCTGCGGGATCGCAGGATTTCCATTGGATCTACACGGCGGTTGAGACAATGGGTTCGACAGGGAAGAAGCTTAAATTCGAAATAATATCTGATAAATATCTTTAGGTTTCCCAGGTGTAAAAATCTATGTATCACGACTGAACACCGCACTGCATCCTGATCAGTCAGGAAATTATTGTCCAATTGTGCGATTCATGAAAAGAGCCTCGGGTGCAAACCTAGTTCCCACATTCACATAATCACGAATAAAATGTTTAGTGTTACACTCACCGGTATCTGGGCTGGAAAATCAACGTGCACGACAGCTGCGAGGAGGGCGAGCCAGCATCCGACGCCAGCGAGAACCACGAGGTGTACGCGAGCCCCCAAGAACAGCGCGAGGATCTCGAGGGTAGCTCCAGCGTCCGTGTCGCGAGCAAGGTAACGCCAACGGCGGAGTTTCTTCAGCAGCATCTTCATCATCCCCATGGTGAACAAGGGCTTCGTTATCAGTATCACCCAGCGACTAACCACGGCAAGCTAAGCGCGTCATACACCCAGCTACTAACGTCCGCTAATAATAACAACAACAACAACAACAACAACTACGTTCGCATGCAATCATCATCAATATCGGCGTACGAGAAGCCGTCGTACGGGACGCAAGAAATGATCGGCGGGCCGCACCGTCACGAGGTACGCGTGAAGGAAACGCATCACGCGCACCTCGACGAGGATCAGTTGCAGCAGCATCACAACTACCATCCGCATTACCATCATCATCATCATCATCATCATCATCAGCTAACGCCGGTCAGCTATCGCGAGCAATCGATGATGGGAGCCGGCAGGCCAGTCGCGTCCCCCCAGTCGTCTTACCCGGCCGGCCGTCAGCAAATCATGGAGATCGATCAGGAGCTCCACCAGCAGCCGTCTAACCAGCAATTGTCTAACCTCGTTGCAGATAGCCCACGACCAATGAGCCACGGGACGAAATACACTTACAACGCCGCCGCAGCCGCCGTCCCGCAGATCCTCTATTCCAGACCGTTGCCCCCCCACCATTACGCGACCAATTACCACCATCTTTATCATCACCCGCCGCTTCACCATGCCTATCATCATCACCACCATCACCAGCCGGAGCAACGGACGCAGTTGATGCTGATCAAGAGACCGGTGATCACGCGTCGTCCAATGTTGCAGAACCCCCACCCGATGACCCAACCGAGCATGCCCTCCAGGCCAGTCTTCCTGGAACGGAAGAAGGCCGTTTACAGGCCGGCGTCTTCTACTTACAGGCGAAACGCCGAGAAGCTGTCCCCGGTGGTGAACAACGTCGCTACCCAGATGGTCAAGCTCAAGAAGATCGAAGCGAAGCAACCGATCAAGATAGAACCGAAGGTGTCCAACTTGGACGTGACCAGTCTGTTCACGACGCCGATGAAACCTGCTAGGAACACCGGCTTCAATCCCGATTCGATTGTGATCGAAGGAGGCTTCAAGCCTATCATTAAGAACATGGAGAGGTCAGAAGAGGTAGCCGAGAAGAGGATCTCCGAGGAGAAGGACGTTTCCCCGCAGGAAGCTTCTAACCATAGACCAGTCGACAGTTTCGAGCCGGTGTTCATACCCTCGCCGCCTGTCCCGACGGTTGACACAGCGAAGAAAACGAAGAAGAAGACGGGCAAACCCCGGCCAGGGGAAATAGACGACATGGAGATGGCGGCGGACAGAACGAACGCGTATTACCTGCCTCCAGTTTCTAGCACCAGTCCCAACGAGCCGCCATCTTCCGCGGTGCTGATCACTTTTGACGGGAAGAGGTTGAAAGACACCAGTCTAGCTAGGTCGATTTCGGGGATAGAAGAACGTCCTTCGGGCAAACTGTCCTCGGACATCTTGAGCAGAACGCCGCAGTTCGGCCGGTTCAAAGGGGAACTACCTGGCCAATTACCGGAAGAGATACGTTCGAGCGCGGAGAAACGTCGTCCGTCGACGGACCTCTCTGTGCCCGATGTACGATCGAGGATCAACACGAAGCTGACTCTAGTGGGACGATCGAAGAGATCACCGCACGAAGGACACATGCACGACATGGAATCCCACGGTAATCACACTAGCGACCACCAACATCATGATCATCATTTCGATTCGTCTACAGTGGCCAGCGCGGCTCAAACGATCATTGCTAACTTCGGGTGCATTCTGCTGGGCATCGTGTTCTACCGTATCATTTGAAAGAGTGGCTGAAAGGATTTCCGAGGGTTGGGAATTGTTCGAAAGTCTCTGTCGATCGATTGTTTCGCAGGATGGACCTAGGGTCCTCGTAATTTTGCCAATAAGGGACAATAAAATCGGCTGCATTCGCGGAGAAGACTCGCGACGGCTTTGGCTCGCGTTCCAGATAGATTTTAGTTGATCATGGGATACCTCCGTAACCGGATATTCACGCGAGCCACTCGATACGCGATCCTGGATCGCTTGGGCGTGGAATAATCGCTGGCGCGGCGGCTCGTCGGTTATTGGAGCGTACGCGACTCCGTGGATAACGGAGAATGTAATCGGCGCGATAACACACGGGAGAGGAATATAACTAACCATTAAAATACTGGTTCTCCATTTACTTATTTATTTTTAGCTATTTATTAAGAGATCACCGTCCTTTCGATCGTGCGCGGGCTCACCCGCGACGAAACGGTTCCGCCGAGCGACTGCGTTCCTCGTATAAAATATAATCGAACGTGGTGGTTCCGTTCACAGGGAATCGGATCGTAAGAAACAGTTCTGGTAAATCGCTGAAAATTTGTCCGACCGAACGGAACGAAACGAAACAGGAGAGAGCAAACAAAAAATAGAAAAGAAAAGAAAACGTGGAATAATCGAGTCTCGTGGTGCAACGGATAAATCGCGGAAGGATTCCGTCGATCTACGTGCTATGAGTTCGTTGACTTTTAGTGTATACGCTTGTACATACGTTCATTGTTAATAAAGATAATGTAAAACGACGAGGAAACAATGGTCATGCTTTTACCATCCCCATCATCGAGCCTCTCGATCGAGAAACATCCTTGATCTTCTTTTGGAGAAGCGTTCCTACACGATCCGAAAGGGGAACTCGTTGCAGAGACGAGCGCAGACGTTAAGCAATGTTTTATTGTATAGAAAAAAGGAGAAAAAAAAACAAACAAATCTTACAAAACAATCAGCACACTAACTACTGTACACGATCGTTATTAGTTGTAAATGAGAAGAGGGCGCGAGCGACGATCAGCTTGTCTCCGTCGGTCGCTCCGGGAACTATTGTCCGACTGGAACTGGCGGCGAACGACAAAATGGCGGATCGCGCTCCGCGAACACTGGCTCTGTTTCAGGTGCGATGGGGAAGTTCGTCGACGGTGTTCCGTCACCGTCGAAGATAATCCTGCTCGCTTCCTCGGCGATGGAAATGGTAACTGAGTATCTCGTTGTGACGACGGTTTCCGTCACGAACAGAAACACCGGTCGTCGTTCCTCTTCCGTCGAACAAAACAATGGTTAAACCGTTCCGATGAACAATTGCACGATACTCCGATTCTAGGCACGATTATCCTTCGAAATTGACAAACTCCGTATAACTTCATCCCTCTCTTCGTCTCACATATACACGTTGAACACACGCTTTCTCTCTTTCTCTCTCACTCTCTCGCTCGCTCTCGTTCTCCGTTCTCTCTTTGTCCTTGTCTTAAAAGTAAACTCCCAAAACTTGCGAAACGCCGGTTCCGTTATTACACATATTATTATTACACGTATCTAATGCCGACGATGTATTTACATATGTTACACGATTCATTTCTTCCCAGCTTCGAACGATTACGAGAAATCGTTAATAATCATCAAGGGTTTGCCTCGCGATCCTGCTTCGCACGGATAGAAACGCCAATCGTTAACTTTATTATACGATTCCCTCGACGTTATCACGTATTAATATATTAGCGTTTAATATATTAATAATACAACGCTCTTTTACGATTATTACAAAGAAAGGACACGGAACATCCGAGTACATGCTGTCTCGAATTTCCTCTCGATTACTCATGTTTCTCATTTTCCCCCTGATCGCTTCGAATCGCTCAGAAGTAAACGTCACTCCCATTGCTCGACTAAAATTTGTCTGCGCTCTCCGTCTCTTCTTCGCTTTGATCTCGGCATCACTCATTCTTTCTCTCTTCTTCCATGCTCTCTCATTCTCTCTTTCTCCCTTTCTCTCTTCCATTTCTGCGACTTCCGCCGGGAAGTCTCGAACCTTGGCGAGTCAATTACGCGAGGTACAGTCACATCGAATATGATCTTCGCACGGTTATTTCATGTTCAACACGCTTACAGCTAGTCACGCGATTGGTTTACGCGGCTAAGAAAAATTTAATACTTAAATATTATACGCCGACGATACGTTCTTCAGCGAGGGTCGGAATTGGCATTCGTCGTTTGATGGTTCGACGTTCAACCCTTCGCGCACATAAATTGTGTCGTTTCGTATTCAACATTGTTCACTGTTATCTTTGTTCCAAATGTTCCACGGCTATTCGGATGTAAACACGGTACAATCATCGAATGAAGGGAAATTAAGACTTGTAAAAAATCTAATGCACGTTTAATTCGAACACTTTTCAATGAAAATGGTACTTGAACCTTCAGAAAATAGAGGCAACATCCACTGGACGAATTGTCGCGAACGACGCGAATGGGCAGAGGGCTTTTGATCGTTCCGGTAAGTCTCGAGTATAGAAAAACTGCTGCAAACGTGAAACGTACAGTCGATCGAAATTCGAATGAAAACGAGTCAGTCTCAAGCTGGATACGGGGAGGATTCGCGCGGGGCATCGCTGGCAATGCCCCGACGGAAGTATGTACAGTTCTGCCGGAGGAATGTTTCTGAGATACAACTGTTTAAAAATTAATCGCTTGCTCGTGCGTGCTTCGTGGCGATACGAAAGACAAGTACTCTGCCGTGAAATCCGTCACCGAGACGTGATTGTGTCTATCACCGACGTCGATAGAAAGGAAAACGGGAAAGAAATACTACTCGTGATCTGATCTTAAGGAACGTAACGATACACCCGGGAAGGTGGGAGGGGATACGGACTGCATGCTAATGACTTTGAGAGAAGAAAAGAAAAACAAAAACGGAAAAGAGAAGAAGAAACGGCAAATCATGTACACGTACCTATATTTACGTACAGGGCGTTCTAACGTGTTTACAAACCTATTGATTACCTCGAGACGATTTGTCTCCCCCGAAATTCGAAGAGAAATCATCCCCGTGGTACTAACGAGTTCACAAATGTCTATCTGCAACCCGTGCAGCTGGACACCCGCAAATACAAATCATCGAGATTTGTTCCCGAAGAGATGA